AAGTCAATATGAGGAAGCTCCGTAAACAGCAGAGTGAAGTGTTTTCCTCAGAGGAGGCCCCAAACACTCCACTGTAAGGGTTCATATGTAGATTTATGGGACTCCTGGTTATTTGGAGATGTGAATCTGTTTACTACCCTACTGGTCACTGGCCTGACACACCCTTTCTGTCAATCTTAATCAGCTTGTGCTTGGCTGACAAAGCTCTCTGAGTATTTGTCATTCACTAGAAAATTGCCACCACAGCATAAAGTACCCCAGGCATCATTTCTGGTCCAATCAACAATACTAATTTACAGACAGTTGGACAAAGCTCCAGATACAGCTAGTGTAACGAGCTATAACTATAGTTATAGTTACTAGTTATATCACTATGACTAGCTATCCCTTTGATTGCTGCACCAGGGTGTTGAAGAATTGAAGGGAGCCTCAAATATAATTTCCAACACTTGGAAACCCTAACCGCAGACAACATAGCAAAGGGCACATGCTGATGTACACAGCAAACAAAGGGCTCTCGTGTTTGCTTCCCCTGTATTTTGAATCTCCATATAAATTATACTGTGTCTGTGGCAGAATCACAGGACACTGTGTACACAGAGGTTGTCCCCGGATGTGTACCTCATCCAACCTTGACTGAACAGCACAGAACATCTAGGACTCACCGAGAGGAAGTCTGTGAGCTCTCGCTGCAGGAACATCTTCAGTTCCCCTTTGTTGAGCTTGAATCTGTCCCCTTCCTTGCACGAGTACCGGTGGAAGATTCTAATCATGGTGTCCATGGCCATCTCCAGCTGGGTGGACATGGTGGCAGCAGAACTGACCACTCCAGGGACAGGCCACCAAACTCAGGGACTTAAAATAAGCAGGTGGGAAAACGCCAACACGTTCATTAAAACAGAATATTACTAATATTACATGTTCATAAGTTAGCAATCAATATTAATATTAAAATACAGGCTAAAAATAAACACAAAGAGGAAGAAAATACCTAACTTCGTACCTGTTCAGCCAATGCACGGCCCCATCCACAGGAGTTTACAATTAAATTATATGCCTTTATACTCAGGGTTCCACCTTGGCACACCTGTTCCCAAGAAGATGGAAATTACCTGCGACAAGAGATTCAGGTGGAAGTGCCTCTGTGCCTCTTTTTAATCACCAGAAGGAACAGATGTGAGCTGCGGCCCCAAGGGCCATTAAGGAAGGATTGGTGCCCATTACGTCCGTTAGATGGAAAGGCAAAGAGAAGGAAAAGGAAGCTTTCAGCGCTCTCTCATTATGGGGAGTTGAAACATAGTCAGTTGCTAGGAAGTTGATGGGGGGCGGGGAGAAGACTAAAAATAGCGCAAAAACACTGGCTCAAACCTGGAGACTGCTCAGCAAAGCCAATAGGAAGACCAAGAGGAAATCTCAGAGCAGATTAAACTAACCCAATGGACACTTGTGCAGCTATAGAGTGAGAAAGCTCTTTGAGTAGCAATTTAGGAAGGTTCAAAGCAGGATCCTGGATGTGTAAGGAGGAAATAAAAATAAGAATATATATGCATATATGTTGGGTTGTCGGAAAAGTCATGACGCATTTTTGCAGCGAAAACCATAGAAAAAATACGTCATGACTTTTCCGACAGCCCCATACTTGGCATTTGAGTAAGGAGTCACAGAAAGGATACATAAGACAGTAATAAAAGTGGTAGCTATAAGGGAAAGAGGGAAAGAGGATGGAACAGGCTGGTTGGGAGTCAGATGTCTCATTTACATCCTTTCAACTTATTTTGACTTTTTCCGCTGTAGGAATGTATTGCGTAGTCAAAACAACTGAAATAGCATAAAGCCCAGAGTAGCTGTGTATACGGGAATCCAGGGGGGATTTTGAAGTGAAAGAAACTTAACCGAGTCACTGGAAAAAACAAAGCCAGACATTGGCTACTGTGCCTGTCCTCTCAGAACTGAAATTTAATTACATAAAAAGCAAACCGGTATATCTCCTTTTTATTTCCTTTCAACAAGCCAGTTGGGATAGATCCTCAATCAGCCCATCCCCCTCTCTCTTACCACCTGGACACCACCAAAACCTCCCCTCAAGGATGCCAGGGACATTCTCACCATTTACCTAAAGCCCAATTCTCAAAAAATATTTTTGTTAGTTTTTTTTAGTATTAAAGTAATAATGCATATGGTAAAACAATAGTATTTTGAATACTCAAGGGTATAAAATAAAATTCTCTCTGCACCATTCCCCACCCTAATCCCCCTCGGTTAACCCTTTTCCATGTGAGAGGCAGTATTATGATAGTGAAAAGCACGGACTACCTGGCTTCAACTGTCACCTCTGCCACTAACTAGTTGTATGATTTTGGGCTAGTCATTTACCACTCCATGTCTCAGTTTCTCCATCTGTGTAAATGGGATAACAGTAGTACCTCCCCAACAGACAGGATTAAATGAGTTAAAATATGCACCTGGAACATATTGGATTGTCGGAAAAGTCATGATGCATTTTTGCAACGAAAAACAGAAAAAAATGTGTCATGACTTTTCCAACAACCCAATAGTAAGTGTTGCATATACATCATCAGCTATTACTATCCTTACAAATAACTGTATGTATATAATTCATAAAATTATATATACTATTTCATATATATCCTTATACATATACATAAACAGCACCAGCATGTATACACCTTGTTTTCTTTTTACTTAGTATATATATACCTTGGGAATCTTGCTATATCAACACATAGAGATCTACTCCATTCTTCATTAAAGTTGCGTATCATTCCACTGGATGAATGTACCCACATGGAGTCAAGAATATGTACCAAGCATGTATATTATGCCAGGTCCTACGTGAACATGACAGAAGAAACTTGCCCTTGGAACATATCTTGTTTCTATTTTTATTGGGGTTGTGTTAAATATATAGAATGCAGGCAACAGTGACATCTTTTTTACGTTACATCTTCCTATCCAAGAACACCCCTATGGTTTTGTGACCATACTTTTCTGGGCCTCCTCAATTCTGAATGCACTTCCCCCTCTCCAACTCTTAAACATTGTTCCCCCCAGGTGGACTCTCAGCTACTCCTATAATTTCTTTTTTGTTGTTGTTTTAAAGATTTTTATTGGGGAATTGGGGTATGGGAACAGCACTGGGGAACTGGGGAAGGGGAACAGACAAATTGCTGTCCTTTTGTTCTTCAGTCTAGTTGTGGAGGATGTTGCTTCACTGGCCCAAGTGGGCACCATCATTGTGCTCTTCCCGGGNGATCTCTAGTCCTGTGGCTTAATACCATCTAGATGTTAATGACTCTGAAATCTGTATCTCCAGTCCCCTCTTTACCTTGGCCCCTGGACTAGATCATATATCCAACTATCCATGTGATATCTCCACTTGAATAAACAATAGGCATCTTCTCAAACAGAGCTATTGATTTCCCTCCAATGTCCCCACACTAAAGCTGTTCTTCCTCTAGTCCTTTAGATTTTTTTGCTTGACCAAAAATCTAAACATTAGATTGTGTTTGGCTGCATGTAACAGGTTCAAACTTAACGAGAGAGCAGTTATTATTTATTTTTTTTTCACATAATGAGAGGACCAGAGGCAGGCAGGCCAGGGCTGTGCAGTGGCTCCTCAATGATAACAATATCCTGGGCTCCTTCTATCTTTTTCCTGCATTGTTCTCATGGTTGCAGGATAGCAGCCCTACCTCCAGCCTCACACCCACATTCCAATGGAAGAAAAAGGAAGGAATTAACATGGTGGAAGGCACAGAGCCTATATAGAAATAACAAAATACCCCAGACATTCCCAACTGACTTCTGCTTATTTCACATTGTCCAGAAGCGCGTTTCAAGCCCCACCTCAGCTGCCAGAAGGGCTGGGAAATACAGCTTTTTGGCTGGGCACACTGCTACCCTGCATAAATCAGAGTCCTGACATATGGAAGACAGTAGAGTGGATATCAGATAGACAAAAGCGGTGACTGCCCTATCATCCTGGACTGCTCTCTTTCTTATTCTTCATTACCACTCCATCAGCAAGCCCCCATCATTCCCACCTCCACAACACCTAACAAAGGAAATGCTTCTCTTCATCTCCATTGCTCAAATCCTGGCTTGAGACACCATCAGCTCTCACCCAGACCACAGCAAGAGCCTCCTAACTTCACACAGTAGCTGGGGTAAGCATTTAAAAGCATAAATATTGTCATGCCACACTCCCTTTCTTAAATTCTCCAAAGGATCTGCCATGGTTTGGGTTCCTCCTAAAGCAGACCCTGAGACAAGGGTTTGCATGCAAGTTATTTATTTGAGAGATGCAGGACATACAGGACGGGGGGTATATAGTGAGACAAGGAAGGGAATATAACCCAGAGAAGGTGCTATATCAATTCAGCTTCCCCAGGGGCGACTGAAGCTTAACTCTAGGGGAAGCACTGGGAAATGATGTAAAACACTTGCCTCAGAATTACATGACCCAAGAGGCAAGGAAAAGTATTTATACACCAGCCCCCAAGAGCTGCTGGCTTCAGCTCTCTTGACTTGAG